TACTCACCAAGGTCTAATACTTCACTAGTTAAGTATATAGTGAAGGAGATACTTACTCATCAAGGTTTAATACTTCATTAGTTAAGTATATAGTGAAGGAGATACTTACTCACCAAGGTCTAATACTTCACTAGTTAAGTATGTAGTAAAGGAGATACTTACTCACCAAGGTTTAATACTTCACTAGTTAAGTATATAGTGAAGGAGATACTTACTCACCAAGGTCTAATACTTCACTAGTTAAGTATGTAGTAAAGGAGATACTTACTCACCAAGGTCTAATACTTCACTAGTTAAGTATATAGTGAAGGATTGGTGAGTAAGTATCGGTCTAATACTTCACTAGTTAAGTATGTAGTAAAGGAGATACTTACTCACCAAGGTTTAATACTTCACTAGTTAAGTATATAGTGAAGGAGATACTTACTCACCAAGGTCTAATACTTCACTAGTTAAGTATGTAGTAAAGGAGATACTTACTCACCAAGGTCTAGTGAAGTATTAAACCTTAGTTAAGTATTATCTCCTTCACACTATATACTTAACTAGTGAAGTATTAGACCTTGGTGAGTAAGTAGAAGGAGATACTTACTCACCAAGGTTTAATACTTCACTAGTTAAGTATATAGTAAAGGAGATACTTACTCACCAAGGTTTTATTACTTCACTAGTTAAGTATTAAATGAAGAAGATACTTACTTACCAAGGTTTAATACTTCACTAGTTAAGTATATAGTAAAGGAGATACTTACTCACCAAGGTTTTATTACTTCACTAGTTAAGTATATAGTGAAGGAGATACTTACTTACCAAGGTCTAATATGTAACTAGTGAAGTATATAATGAAGGAGATTTTTTATTTTTCTTTAATACCAAATTATCTGAATTAAAATATATACATGGATTACATTTTCCTTCAGACTCCAGACTGGTGGAAACAATTACCATTTTGAATATTAATGTTCAGTTTACATTAGTAGGTGTTAGTGAGGGATGTTGTTATTTGTATAGTTGTAGAAAATGGATTGTTGACTGTCATTATCCTGCAGTAAAATTGTTGACTGTGGTTATTCTGTAGTAAAAGAACCAGAGCAGAGATTGTGTGTCTTCCGTGATGACGATGATTGCAAGTTCAAGTTTGTTTACAAACTCGACGAGAACAACAAGCCTTATGTTTGGGCACAGAGAACAAAAGGTAAAAAAATGTTGTGTGAACAAACGTACATAGTCTAAGTGAAAGAAGAATGCAAACAAACCAATCTCTACGATGTTTTAGTGACTTACAGTGTAATATAAAAAAGTTAGAATACATTCTGAATCAAAAGGAACATTCTTCTCACCTTATCTGAGATTTTTACCAAACTAGAAAATCAAGAATCTGTTGTAGAAGGTGTTGTAATTACTGCATTCTTTCAGCACGGGCTTGGGACCAACCTCGTAACCATTTTGTACTTGTTATAGTTTTCATGCTATAACATTTAAACTAGTAAGCATATGTTAACTAAGTTTGGCAGATTATCAGTAAACATTACAATGCTTTAGTAAGCAAAATATCAATTTTTTTTCATTAAGGCTTAAGGTGTGTAAAGCAATGTTTTTTTCATGCCTGTCCAACATGCAAAGTAATTTTCATTTTAAGAATAAAAATACTCTTGTGCATAAGAAAATTTAAAAATTTCACATGTGAAATCTTTATAATGTCTTGGTAGTTGTCAAATGTTTCTTAAGAAAAAACCTATATATTTTATCTGTTATTTTCAGTACCAAAACTCTGTACGAGTTTGGTCGATTTTACTGATCTCGTAACCATGTTAAAAAAATTAGGAAATAAATATGAATTATGCATTTTCATTCTAGAATAACTACAGATTATAACACGAAAACATAAATGTTTAGACTAAATAACTTCAATTTCATAATGCTATACATTTATATATATTTATTATACTGACCTTTCTGCCATGCCTGGCTAACAATACAAAAGTTACAATGATGAGGTGCACGTGCACTCGTGTTACCATATCTAATAATATAAAACTGACCTTTGGTCTGTACAAAGTAACTTGTCTTGGGTGTGTTTTAGTAGACAATTTTTTTGTAAAATACAGTCACATTTCAATTATTATACATTATATATGTATATAGATTATTGCTATTTAGAAATAAGTTCTTATACTAATTTTTATTAAAACATAGAACAGTAAATAAAGAAGTAAACTAAACAATTATCTCTTCTAGTTATGATCACTGTACTCGGTTGCTGCTTGATGTAGGTTGCTAAGCCTTTTAAAATTTTGCACGTGGAGCATATGGAACAAAATAATATTCTTTAGGTTTTATATATATAGTTGAATAACCAAAAAAATCATAAATTACTATATCAGTACCATAGAATTCTACTATAATTTATCAAGCTTAATAACTAAACTGTATTTCAGTCTAGAAAATATGACACAACCTACCTCCTTGAACTCTTGGTTTGAAAGAAAGAAATGGCATACAAACACGTTAAAATGGCTGAGAAAGCCACTAGGGGGACATTCTGAGCTTCCGATTGGTTATTCATATCATATATAGAAGTAAGTGTATATAAGGGGGCTTTTGCAAAAATGGAAAGAGGTGGCTGGGATGCCACTGTGTTTGATTCATGACATGAGCAATATCTTAGCAAATATAAAAGATAAGAGGCTCTTATTTTATATTCTAGCTTGTAAGTTTTGGTAATTTGAGTTCCTAATTCATACAAAAGTATATAGTTAGTATTTTGACAGCTAATTTGAACCAGTGCTACATTCAACATACCACATGACACAAAAATCGATGTTTAACTGTGTTTTTTAATATTTACTTTTAAATTTAAGAAATTGAATAAGGAAT